TTCTTTTCCAACGAGTCATATTAATTACGTAATTGAATTTTGGATTTTCCCGTCGATTGATTGAACCGAAATCCTCGATCTCGCAGCCCAAATGGTCTAGCGAAGAACTCTTTGCCGTTAGAAACTGTGGGCACTGGGTTTGAGTCTCGGTAGGAACGTCATCACTCACTACCTAATGCAGGTTCATCCAGCTGACGACTCCTTAATAGAATGAAATGTGCATCCTGGATTCGACTGCTAGTCACCATCCACCAATTAAATACTAATTAAATGTCCAGATATCGTCGAAGCGTGTGCACAAGAAGCCGACATGTCAACTTGAGACCGATCACTTCGGTCCAATCAATCGACGGGAAAATCTAAAATTCAATTAAACATCTCAGCTTTATTTGTAATTTGCCTAAATGATATTATCCAGTTGGAAGTCTAGAAATATATATCAAACGATTTTAGGTTTTACACAAAGATTGTGTTATGCTGCTTCAGTTTCAAATGAGAGATTCGTAAAAGGCAATTACGGTTTGGTTAGGTAGCTTCTGTTATTTTACTGATCACCAAGTTAAGATCAGTCACCCGTTTGAGTGCTTCGAATACTACTGGCATTGTTATCCGGTGTACACTGCTTTAAACTTACTCTACACCACGATGACAAGAGACAAGCGAAATACAAAGATACATAAAATCGTGGAGGTGGTGTAGAAACTACTACCAATCTCATGGAAACTATCTATAAATACCTGACTTCTCTAATGACGTCCAACGTAAAACAGGAGATCCCATGTACTTAAAAGTGAGTCACACCTTTATTGTATAAGAGCTAGTGATATTGTGGTGGTGTGATACAGACAATAGGTCCCAACTGAATATTATTATTAAAGTAAGAGTCATTGTATTTGTTGGTGATACCGTCTGAATAGTATTCCAACAATTCAACAGTGAATTAGCAACAGAATGCTGTATGTACGTATTTGAACATTTTATTTCACGTCGTTTAATGTAAGCCGAAACCATACACTCAGTGATTGGCGAGAGAATATAAACCGCATAGATATAAATAGCTGTTTGATCATTTGAAAATATACCGTGTCTTGCCTTCTACTGTTAAAATGGTTCCGACTAAAAACACACTGACTGAAAGTCGAGCGCCTAGATGGGCGATTCACGTCTCCACACACTCACACATAAAGGCGTAATGACTTCGTTCTGTTGAACTTAAATTTTAGGATATTGTTTTTTTCATATAGGTTAAAATTACTCAGTGAAGAGAATTCACGCTAGGGGATAAACTATTCGATAGCCTTTTAAATAAAAATAATACATTAATACATCAATAGACTTCAATCTTCGCCTACCCTGGACTGCATGACCTATCTTAATATGATTGGTCATTAGTATGTACTTTTGTTTTTATTTAACTGAGTAATTTTCATGAACTTTACTTTATCATTGTTAACCATGTTAGTTGTAAAGCGGTTGTAAAGAAACTACGAAATGATATCATCTCGCGAAATTTGTCTTCTTAATGCCTTGTTCAAAATACATTAATTGAAATGTATTTTTAGATATCCCAACAATCAACCAGCTGATATTTTTTTTGCTGTCGGTTAAAAGAGGCGAACGACGAAGATTGGTATTTAAGATTTACATATGCTACAAAGTCGATGATTTGAAGTTTCTATACTTTCCACCTTCAATCCAGAATTCTATTACATCATTATTTACGATATATTGATATGTACAGTTTACGTAATCACCTAAAACTTTGTTCCCATTAGTTTTACTATGCTGCTGAAGGAACATTGGAGGTTCCTGCATTTATCTTCTCTCTTTCTCTCAATGGCTCCATAGGTGTATATTTATACGCGTAGTGTATCTGACATTTAGCTGTCGGGATGAATACAGTAAAAATAGATTGAACACCAGTGTGTGTCAATATTGTATTGACGGTTAGATTGAATTCCCTTTTTTCTTTTCTAGTTTATTCCGCGTGTGTGTGTGCATCTGTTTGCCAACGATATGACCAAATATTACCTGGTTATGCAAACCGATCAGCTTAATTTATATATAGTCGAAATTTCAGGAAAAGAGATACGCAAGAGATAGAATTGGCGTCAAATAGTATAAATATCATTTACTGAAATTCGTATAGAAACGGGAAATAATGTTAGACAGAGGATTAAAGTTTCTGTTCATCTTCTAAACATTAGAAACCTAAATTCCCTGAAAAGGAGTAATACGAAAGTCGACAAACTAATCATTATATCATAGATTACTGGAGGATAAAGCTTCTCAAAGAATATTTCCAACAGCCTGTTGCAGACCTTTATTAACAACAACTGTCTTCGCCGGCTCTATACTGAAGATCAGATGGCCGGGTCGGAAAGAATCACCAACAAGAAATTATGGGCACTAACAGACAAAACAAGAACCAAACGCCAACCAACAAATCTGCAGGAGAAAGTGGAGAGTGGATTTGACACTCGCTTGCTGAGGAGGCCACCGCTGGGTGACATCGTGCGCGCGTCAGGCCATTGTTCGTGTGGAACCAGGCCGAAAGGGAAGCAAGCGGCGAGTGGGTCGTCAGTGCAACGGTGACATATAGGAGATCGTGTGAAGAGGAGTTGAAACAGTGTGGACTAACATGGATGCAGATGAGACGTACAGCAGAAGACAGAAGTGGCAAGTGGAGACGTGAAGTTGAAGCCCTATGTTCCACTAGGAACCCAAGGGACCAATAATGATAATAATATTAAAGCTTCTCAATATTTGCCATAAAACCGTCTGCATCCAAATAAGATATTGACTACCTTTTGCTTTGATTTGGTACTAGTCTGAATTCATTCAAATATATTTGAAACACCACAGCCTACGTTGATAATTCGGAAAAGAAGAGTTCATCAAATCCACTAAAGGTAGATATTAGTATCTGTAATCCACTCGCATGAATCACTATTGTTAGTTAACCGTCTAGTGTCAAGCGATTCATCTATTAACATCTGAATAATTTATAACTCCAAAAGATATCATGGTGAGATCTACTCTCGAAGAATTTACATTGAACATAGTAACTACCACCTCACTCAATAAGCTTGAAACTGTATCAAAGTTTAGTTAGTTCACGGATCAATGTCGATTAAAGAATCACTGAAAACTAAGGAGTACTGGACAGTTGTTTCGTCGACATTCAAGGAGAAATCATTGGCCATTCAGCCATTGGGACTGAATTTAATGACCCATGAATTCTAGCTACTACGCCATCTCTGGCCTAGACGTGATATCCGACTGGCTATCGACCAGAGGGCGGGTGTACTGCTCAGCAGTTCAATACATCCTCCCTTTATTGCTGGCTATGAGTGACAAATAGCCATTGAAAGTGGAAGACATGAAAAACCCAGCCAGTTTCCTTCGATCATAGGTGCCTGCGTTCCATCTCTCGTTTGTTAGGTGGTATAATAGGGTGGGCGATATTGTGGTTAGGCTCCAATTGAGTGCTAGGTAAAGAGGAGAAGTCAACCAACGAGATTGTGAAGGTACACTGATTGAGACAGATGGTTAGAACATATGTTTCTCATGCATGCCAGCCATCCATCGCCTTCCTCGATCACGGGCAATGTTAGCTGACATAGGATGGATCAGGTTGGAAGAGAGCTAGCCAGTTGTGGTGGTGGTGGTCAAACCGACAGATGGCTTCATAAGTCAATGAAATCTACAACAGTCAGTTTAATCCAGCCAGCCAGCAAGTCACGTTGGGAGGTGTAGGCTGCCTGATTCCCTAGTTGTGGTGTTCGGGACGATAGAACCGATGTTTGGATATGGCCGGCTCAAAGTCATTCTCAATGTCTGGCGGAGATGCATCCACTCCTTGCGATTTATAATACCCAATAAAAGTATATTGTTCTTCGATGTTACTATTTTCTTTCGCCTTATATCTCTATTTATTGTCTCTATTTTGCATTTATTTTTACTTTCTTCTATTGCTTTGTGTGCTACAAGAATGAAGTGTGGCGACTCCAACTTATGCACATCGGTGCAAAGTTCTATGTTGAAAGCAGCCAGCCATCAACTACTTTCAGTTCATGATATATACCACCTCCACCTGCTTTGGAGTTTGAAACTACTGCTACTGGGTCCGAGTCTCCGTGGAAACGTCATCATTCAGTGCCGAATACAGGTTCATCCAGCTGACGAGTCCTAAATAGGATGAAATGTGCATCCTGGATTCCGCTGCTAATCACCATCCACCAATTAAATACTAATTAAATGCCGAGACATCGTCGAAGCATGTGCACAAGAAGCCGACATGTCAACTTGAGACGGATCACTTCTTTGCAATCAGTCGATGGGAACATTTAGTTTTTTATAGTATTTGGACACATTATTTTAGTGTGTTTGATTAGCTAATAGTATAGCTTATAACATCAGTCCTAGTTTGTTTGCACACTCTGGAATTCAACTTTGCCATCAACGCATAAACGCCTTTGTGTATGTTTCAATCTAATTTTGTTATTATACCGACAAAAAGCAGTTTTACTCTACTGGAAACGATGAAGACAATTTGATTCTCACGTATCATGAAGGAGATATATTCGAGTTCAAACAAGCCTAAATTGCAACGGGTGTATTACGACAAGGGCTGCTTAAAATATTCCATCTCATACTGTATGAAATATCAATCATCATAGAGTATATTTTATCTATTTTATGTCTCAGATAGAAAGGACACTGTAAAGATTCGACTACCAACAGAGGGAGATTATTTCAATAATGTTTGAAATAGATATTAGTGTTCCAGATATTATATGATCGCAAATATTTACACTTTATCCTAAATTTATAGATTTTCTGAAACTATCCAATGAAATTTTAGGTACTCGCTTGTTCTGTCTTCTCTTCTGGATGCAACAAAAATTAAGCGAGTTAACTTTTTTTAAGTTCACAAAATTCAAAGAAGAAGAGAAAACCAAGTGAAAATAGTTTAACATTGAGGCATTTGAACTTACATCCAATTCCAAATCGGAGGTATAGATTGACAGCTTCACCACGAAGTGAAAATGCTATTCTAGGAGCAGACAGCTCACCTTTTTCAACGGCTTCTAAACTTGCACGTCTGTGTTGATACACATAAGCCAAGGTAAAAATCATAGCGACAATTGAGGTGATGAACATCACAGTATAGAATGTCTGAAAAGTTTTGAAAAGAAACAACAAGGGAACAAAATGAGGTTATATCGTTCCGATTTGTAAAGAAGCTGTTTCGGTCAATTAATTATAATTGAATTTCCATGGTTATTTAAACACAATGATAAAGTTTTCGTATTTTGTTAGTATTTCAAGCAAAATTACCACCCGTGCTGAAATTGTGCTCGAAAGTAACAACGAGGCATATATTACACAGAAGCCTAAATATATGACAGTATACTGGTTCAAGATCCTAAAAGTGCATGGTCGGAGAGCGTCCTAACCGCTATGCCACCGACGCAGTCTAGATTAGTGAAGTTCTTATAATTGACTTAAGAAGGAATTTATAATATGGGGTTTATGACCAATTTGATGGTGACTGAGAGTAGTATCTTAGACTGTGAATGTTTAGAAACTACAGGCTATTAGATTTTGATTGAATGGTGACTTTCTCAACTCCGAACTAGATGACTCTGGGTGTGACCCTCTGACTAGCTGAACTAGAACTGAAGAGCTGTCCAACGCTTCATGGATTTCGGTTAAACTAGATTTTTATTAATTCTAAGGAAATGGCCTTAACATTTGTTCAACAGTCCTCATATTTATATATGTCCAATTCAATTCTAGATTTTTCCCGTCGATTGATTAGACCGAAGTGGTTGGTCTCAGGTTGACATGTCGGCTTCTTGTGCACATGCTTCGACGATATCTGGGCATTTTGATTAACGGATGGTGACTAGCGTTTTTCGTCATGTTTGGGCCTCGTCAACTGGATGAACCTGCATTCAGCAATGCGTGATGTTGTTCCCACTAAGGCTCGAACCCAGTGCCCATAGTTTCAAACGCCGAAGCAACATTGCCGAAGCATCTGCTCAAGAAGCCGACATTTCAATCTGAGACTGAGCATTCCCCAAATTTGTGACTTGATAACCCCAATCTCTAGCACAAATGAACTATAATGTAACCGACTATAAAATTCATTTTATTTAGATTTCTGAAAATCACTTTTTAATCCATCATGTATCAATGGGCTTAAGTTGCTTCACTGAGATATATTGCCATCACTATAGGTAACAAGCTGAGAGATATAACTTCCCGGCTGATTTTAACTCCAACTTTCAGTTTCCATCTTGAAACCGATCACACTAATTGGCTGAATATGCATGGTGTAACATCTTTTTGATGACAAAACACGCAGCTCAGCGAAGAGGCTTCTTTTCAGCATCTTTAGTTTATGTAGCTGTGCAATCGCATTTACGTACAATTCTTCTTGCACGGAAGAAGGAAGCAACAACAGTGATGAGTTGTCACAAACATATATGTTGCTAATAGTTATTATTAGTCAATGCATAAAAGAATTTGAATAAGTGTATAAGAGTTACTCAATACGACGAATAATTCAATGAGTGAGTTCTGATCAGGATGCATACAGAAACGGAGGAAAATATGGAATTGTGTTCAGTAATCCAAAGGGGACTAAAGTGTATTGCCTTTGTCAGGTTATTCTTCACTTTTTAGATTACTTTGAAGGAGGCGTTTGTCGGGATGGAATGACCAGTGTTGACAAGGTGTTCGATTATTGTCCTCCTTATAGAGATGCTACTACTGCCTTTCTGCAAACACGCGGGATTGTGCACTTGAACCCTTTTCTTTGCACAGAATACCCGTCGAACCACCTACATACCTTGCTTCACAAGAACATGTGAATTGATTTATGCACACAGAATTGGTTACATGAGAGATGTTGTCTTTAAGGCTTCTGACGGTCAGCGGATTACCGGAGAACACTACTCTTAGCGTTGATGTGAAGAATATTTTTCGTAAAGATGATGAAATTTTTCTCTTAAGGATATCATGGGATACGACTCCCTTGAAATCCAGGTTGTGTAAAGTTAGTATTTTCGAAACAAGTAATGTTTTGTTCCTCTGAACTTTTGGTATGATATCCTTGTCAATGAATCTTGGTAAATATCCAATTTGGATGGATATTTCTGCCAGAAGATCTAATTCTGCTTTTACGGCGTCAGGACTCCAGATGCGTCAGATCTATATGTCAAAAGATATAATTAAATTTCATCCGAAATTCGAAATCTGACCGTTCGAAGTGTGTTTCCTGTGGGCTACCCCTCGTAAGGTTAGGTCTAGTAGTAGTAAACAGTTCCACATCAAGAAAGACGATTTTCGGTAGGTTTTTCCATCTGTAGAGCGAATTCTGTTGCCGGATGGCAGTTGTTTAACATTTGTAGCATTCGAAAACGGAAACTCACTGCTTAAAATTTCTTGCAGTTGTGAAGCACAATATTTCATCAAACACATTAACAGTTACCAATGCCACTAATCACTTTCATCAGAGTATTAGAAACTGCTTTCAGTCTCCATGATTTATTTTTGTTGTAAAATATCAACATCGCGGATTCGTTTGCATTTCTATTACAAAAATTCTGATCTTATTACTTGCAGATTGAAAGCTCACATTCATCATATACAGGTACACCTAAGAAACTGTAACGCCTAGTTTTGTTCATGGTTAACAGCCTTCCAGTCGATAAATCATTTTGAAGGTGGGAATAAAAGACAAATATGAGTTGCTGGATTTTTTGCCTTCCATACTGACTTCTTTGGAGCAATTTTTCAAAAAAATAATGACGTGTTGATATTGAATGATGAGTCTAAATAATCTACCATGATCACGGAGTAATCAGCTTCAAGAAAGGCATATATCTGAGCCTAGTGCAAAATCGCTCCTTGTCTATTTATTACCCTATTCAATCCCACATGAACTGAACAAAATACTAATGTCTGTGAGAAGTTTCCACATTGTGGAATAGATCAAATTAACTATATTTTATGCTTCAATAGTTGTGTTTACACATAAAATTAAAAATTGTCATCAAATATAGACCATTATTGAAATGTGAATATACTTCAATAAACAGACAGCTCAAATTCACTACAATCGGGCTAAGAGTGAGTTCACTGTCATCTGTTAACCAGCCCCCAATAACCTATGGTCTTAAAATCAATACCGAAAAGTGCTTGTCGAAATTTTCTACAATATTAATCCAGTGGAACTGAATTCGAGGGGAATAATTTTCACGAATTATGTCCACTGAAAATGCCTTACCAAACTAATTAATTTAAATATCCTCATTGAGAAGATTTGTAGCTCAGGTGTCTTCTGAGCTGGTTGGTCTAATTGCGCTGAAGATGTTGTCCAGAAGGACGACGGAAGCTGCACAATTAAACCAACCAGCTCAGAGAACACAACTAGTTGCATATATCCTCATAGTATGAACAAGAACAGAACAAGATGATTTTTGAGTGAACAATTGTTTCGACAACTTGTTCTTCAGGCCCTACAGGTGTAAATCGATGAATATTAGAATGAGAATACCTAGTAGGGATAAGTGAAAATTATATCAGAAAGTGCATCGATGTACATGTATAACATGGAATGATGGTTAGTCAGTGGACATTGTCAATGAAATTTATGTAACACGTACAATCATTCAGAAGCTAAGATAAAATATGAATAAACAGGTGAGTGACACACTAATTACATGCCGAGATATCGTCGAAGCATCTGCACAAGAAGCCGACATGTCAACCTGAGACCGAACACTTCGGTACAATCAATCGACGGGAAAAATCTAAAATTAAATTAACATGAATCGTTGCACAAGAGGTGGTTCTCGTGGCCCAAGTGGTCTAGTGGATAAAACTTCGGCGTTTAAAACTACGGACACTGGGTTCGAGCCTCGGTGGGAAAATCATCACTCACTAGGAGTTTCAGGTGCATCCAGCTGACGAGTCCAAATTAGGGCGAGATGCTCATCCTGGACTCCACTGCTAGTCGCCATCCACCAATTAATGTTCTTATAGTTAACCGAACATAAGTTTCATTATGGGAGGGAGGGAGTGAGTTATAATCAGTGATATGAGAGTAACACGATTACCACAAAGTACATACAAACAAATGGGGAACACGTAATGTAAGTAAAATAAAAATGTTAAATAGTCGGCTGTAATTAAATACTAAAGGCATGATAAACTCCGTGTAAATATAACAATGGAGTTAAGTAAACTAGGTGAAAAGGGATTAGAAAGGCGTAATGTGACCTGAAAATATGATGGCTTTATACTAGGCCAGGGTAAACTAAGGCGATGGCGGTGCTGTTTTTTCAGCATGCAGGTCGTTTGTCGTTATTAATCTATATAGCTAGAAAATTCAGTCATTCGACTTAAGGCAGACTGTCCGGTTATCGATGTGCAAGCACAAATGACTCCTCTATTTTGATACAGTGTTCAGTATCCACTAGATCAGTTTTTCTATATGGTTACTTTTTACCTAGGCCAAACTGGAACATGTTCACAAGGGCTTAAAGGTTGATTTCTCTGATTACAATATATGCATAACTATCTCTGCAGCAGCATTTGAATTTGTTACATACATTTATGTGGCCATACTTGGTAATTTATCTTGAAGTGCATCTGTTAGTATCGGTCTGGCTAAGAAACTGACGTGTAGTTCTTTCAGTTGATCGGATCAACCTGTAGTCCAATATATAACTGGATATTCAAGTGTTGGTTTGTAGGGATCTGATTGGTTACAGGTTTTAATCATGAGCTGACATTAGTTAGAGAACTACTGGAAAACCTGGGAATACTGGACTGATGTTTCGTCCCAGTTTGGGACACTTCATCAGCACGCGACCACCGGGGTTTGAACCTAAGACCTTCTGGTTACAAGGCGAACTCGTATACCATGAAGTCACTGGGACGCAATCCAGTGGCCCATGAATTCTAAATTCTGCTAATTCACGACATAGCGCGACCCCTAGCCAATGTCTTCGGCGAGTATTTGTTCTCACACCCGACCTGCTGCGCCTTACTGGTCATGACTTCTCACTAGAACCCCAGATGACTACTTACCTGAATATGGCAAGTCGCTAGTGAACATCTAATTGATATTCAAGTGTTGGTTTGTAGGGATTTGATGGTTT